TCGCTTTTGACCTCGCTTTTGCTATTTTGATGAGAGCCTTATAAAACCAGTAGCTCAGCAAAGTACAGCTGGCAATGTCACTATTGCTGCAGCCCGCTAATCACCCACCCTTCCATCAGTATCCCCAGAGTGACCTGTCCAAGTCACTCTTTGGACAGTAGACTACCTCCGGTCAGTTCAAAGGCAGACATTTTTTTCACATCTCTCTGGGAATTCATGCAATCCTGGGTATGCAGTAAGCAACTAACTAATGTCTGGACTGTAAGGTTGAAAGTAGGGCTGGAAAAGTAAGTTTAGAGAGGAAGTGGAAATCAGATCATTGTGGGCTCTGAATGACAGGTTGAAAGCAGGCTTTCTACTCATGATCAACAGACAGTCGTAAATACATGGGGAGGCTTACAAACCTGCACGGCTGAATTTAGTTCTTGGGTCTGAGAAAAACAGAAAAGGTGGAGCAAAAATCACTCCATGCTGTTAAGTTTTAAACCTTAAGCAGATAGTATTAGGGTTGATAATATTGAGCAAATCACACCAAAAAAATATTATCCTGTTGAGAGGTAGAAGAAAATGAGCTCATTTTGGGATCAGTAGGATTTAGTGTTAAACAGTGCATCCAAGTAGAGGGAAATTGTCATTGCAGTTACAATAAATAAATGGCTTTCCTGTCTTCAGGGGTAGTAACTAGCAACATGTTGTCATTTTCCAATGAAACATGATTTCATATTATGGAAAATACTAATGAAGTTACAGAGCTTCGAGTGCTTCTAAAATGAGAAGTTATGAAGTTCATGGAAATGGAAAAGGCCAGTTAAAGGTACCAGTAAAAAGTCACACAAATGGGTGAGGAAATGTGAATTTTGTGGCAATAAGTTAATATTTTTCAAGATTTGAAAAAAAAAACACATTAAAACATTTCTGCGCAGAACTCCCATTTAGATACTAAAGCTCAATTCTGAACTGAGGATATATGTCAACCACATTGGCTTTCAAAAATTATGTACCATCCTCGATCTGAAAAGAAAGTAAGGTTCAAGTCCTGCTCAAATTTGCTTCACCTTCATTCAGCAACTCTTTTAAAGACAGTTGTAAATAGTCAACGTTGTAAATAGTCATTGGAGCACCATTAGAATGCAAATGATAAAACAAGACACGTTGGACTTTGAAATACTGTAATAAAAGCCTTTGTAAAAGTTCAAAGGTGGGGAAAAAGTCTCACACATGTAAGAAAGCCTCGTACCTTGCCCTTTGAGTTCAGCACTTAGCAACACGCACTGAATCACTGGTAATACCAAGGGAAAAGGTAAGCTCATTTTTCCCCCTGTGGCAAAAAGAACTATCTCTTACAATTTCTTTTTGAACTCAATTGCAGACCTTTGAAGTGAGCCAAATTGTCCTGTATGGTCTTCCACATATAATTTTCAGCCTAGGGACCTTATTTAGCTATAATTTTATTATCCTCCCATTGTAGCATAGCACTACAGCATCCAGAAAATGTGTGGTGTATTTTATTATTTATTTATTTATTTAATTTTGGTTTTTTTGAGACAGGATCTTGCTGTGCAGCCCAGGCTGGCCTCAAACTCCAGGTGGTCCTCCTGCCTCAGCTTCCTGAGTGCTGGGATTACATGCATGTGCCACCATGCCCACCATCTAAGGTGTATTTTATTTTATTTGCCCTTTTATTTTACTTCACTTTATTTTATTTTATTTATTTTTTGATGCCAACAATCGAACTCAGAACGTCTCTCTTGAGAGGGAGGTGCTGTGCCACTGAGCTATATCCCCTGCCCAAAGTGTATTGTAAACACTTAAATATGATTTCTATTTTAAAATTGCTAACTAGCTGACTTTTACTATTGTCCTGTCTCTACCGTATTAAACTGCCAGGCCCTGCCACTTAAGCTCAGAGAATGCTATAACGAAAGAATTGCAGAGCAGACACAGTACTTATATATACCCATGCTGCACAACACTTGTAGAACAGTTTTTTAATTATATCGCTAAATTTACATATCTTTGTTGTATCTTAATTATCACAATATGATCATGAAGTCATAGAAAGTTACAATAAGGTGATGAAAAAATCCAACCTGTAAAAGAAATGTGGCTGTTACGTGACGCAAGGGATCTTCTACCCTCCGCTCAGCATGTTACCATCTTTTTATTGGTAGTCTGAAATTTCTTCAGTGAGGCAGAAACCCTTTCATCTCACCGCTGAGGGAAATAACAGGGTGTGACCGTGGGGAATCACGGTGCACTCCATGTGGCAGTTACTTGTTTCAAGGTAAGATGTTTGTGTTATCCTGCTCCTCTGACTCAGAGGCCTTGGCTGGGCATCCCTAGCTTGGACGAGGTCTGGGGCCCTGTCCAGAGGGCAGATTTGCTCTGAGACCTTATTTTGGTGTTTTGGCTAATAATGGAACGTCTTCTTGAGATTTCTGATTCATAACATGAAGAAGACTATTGGAAAACACCGAAGCAATAGAAATGTCAACTGGCCTTCAGGTGAAGAGTGCCTGTAAGAACTGGGAGTCCACAGCGTTTGTCAGCTTCCCAGTTCCACACATATTTACTGCAATTCACCCAGTGAGGGTGCAGGGTAGGGAGGTCATGAGGACTGAGCGTCCTTCTCTGCAACAAGCCTCTCCCACTCTCTCTTTCAGGGTGACCTCTATTTCTTTAGTCTCCTACTTACTGCCTACCCCCTTCCTTCTAGAAGAAGCTCACTTTACCTGCTGATCACTTGCTAGTGAGTTGACAGACTGACTTGTACCAGCTGGAGCTAAGCAGCCATTGTCCAGGGCCTCTTCACGGGACACGCTCACCATGCCCAGTGATGGTGGGAGTGGATAGCATCACTCCAGAAGGGACATTTCCTTGCCTTTCCATGCAATCGTTAGAGATTTAAAAAAAAAAATCTCCTAGCTTCCTCAGCAAACTAGGTCTAGAGGTCCCATTCAACCCAGCTATTCCCCTTCTGGGTATTTTCCCAGAAGATCTGAAAATATCATATCACAGTGATATATGTGCATCTATGTTCACAGCAATGCAATTTATAACTGCTAAATTGTGAAAGCAACCCAAATGTCCATCCACTGAGGACTGGATAAAAAAATTGTGGTACTTTTATATAATAGAATATTACTCAGCTATAAAGAAAGATAAACTAGAGGCTTTTACAGGTAAATGGTCACAATTAGAGACCATACTCATAAGTGAAATAAACCAGACCTCCATGTGTAAGCAATGTATTATCTCACTAATGTAAGAACCTGAAAGAGTGAATAAAAATGAGGAGGTATGACAGGCATTATGAAATGAAAGGAAAACGCTCAAAAGTAAAGAGCAACTGGGGTGAGGGAAAAGAGAAAAGAAAGAAGGGGAAATTATGTATTATGTAGATACAGGATAGCTAGCATAGTTCTGCTACTGACTTTTATTGCCTTACTGAAAGGAACAGTTAATGATTACCTATTTGATCAATATTGCACGTCTCTATTTGTTTTCCCAAGAAACCACTTTGAGGATATCAATACATAATACAACAACAATTGTTAATTTCCTACCACTTGTCTGTAACTCTGTATTGCTTGTATTGTTCTTATGCTATTTTGTAAATGGATGTCTGTTTGTTAATATGTTTTCCTTCTTTTATCTTTAAAATAAATTTTTTTAAATCTCCTTAAATAACAGAGGTAATGATGAATCTTTATTATTATTAATTTGCCACTGGCAGGATTTTTGCCCAGAAAATGCATGCCATGATAGGGTGGGACATTCAAGGCAGGGGGCTCATTAGGTTGGATTTATTAAATTTTGCCCCACATTATTTTATCAGTTTAGGAGTTCAAAACTTTCTTTACAATGCTAGGTGTACAGTTGATCATCTAACTACTGTCTCTTCTGTCTTTCACCTTTTTCTGCTGCATAAACAGACTCCAGCCTCCATTCAGTCTCATCCTGATGTCTGTCTCAATCAAAGCATGTGATGTCTTCATTTAATTGGATGGAGTCCTAACTCTGCTTATTTTTCCTAGGTTTGTAATTTTTTCCCTTTTTCTTATGTTTTCCAAGATCACTGCTCCACACTTCTCTCTACCTAGTGCTCACTTGTCTATCGCATAATAATCCTCATCTGAAGGATCCAAGAGGTTAGTAATCCTAAGTAGAAAATCCAGTTGTAAATGTTGAGAATACAACATCCTCCTCACCTACAGGGCACTCCGGCACCAAAAGGACCTAGGGCTCTGCACCTGTTCTATGTCTATTAGAACTTAAAGCTCTAAAACTTCCTCCTGGGAACCCTCTGAATGGGGACAATCATAATTTCAAGAGCCTGGGAAGATGCACTAAGTCTAATTTTCTAGTTCCAAAAGATAATATTGTCAGGTTTGTTTGAGAAACATGCTACAATCAATAACAAACAAAAAAGTATGATGATGCATTTAAATGCTTATAAAATGACCCAGAATGAACCAAATAACCTGCTTCTGGAGCTTATGAGAAAGTTCTAAATTCTGAGTAATCCCCTGAAGGTGAAGGTTCCCCACTGCACTACTGGACATGTATACTCGCCCTGATGTACCTTCTTTCCACAAAAAGAAATTACTAACCCACTGTCACCCTCAGTGAGAATGAGAACTAAAATCAGCTCCGGTGTGCTGACAGTGGGCAGAAATACAAATAAGTAAACAATTTTTGAATGCCCAGGAAGGAAACTTAATTAGGGAGATGGAGAAGGAGGACTGTAGCAGCGTATCTCTGCCTCTTGTTCTAGCCAAGAGCGAAGGGTAATCTCCCCAGGGGAAAAGCTGTCCACCAGCAGACCTGCACCGGGGCTTCTCCTCCCCTCCGGGAGGCTTTCCAGTTTTCCAAGTACTCCTAGTTGGTATGGAGAAACAGGAGTTGGGAGGAGCAGAAGTATCCGCAATTGAATGTTTTCCCTGTGCTGCTGAAATGTCCTCCCCCAGTCCGTGCATGGAATCCCGGACTCCCAGTACCTCAGGCTGTGACTGGATTTGGAGAGGGGGCCTTTGGAGAGACGAACGCTTCACAGTGAGTTTGTCAGGGCAATCCCTTCCCAGTGTGACTCGTGTCCTTCTGTGAAGAGGAGAAGACGTCTGAGACGGGGACGCCAGGACTGCCGTGGCACAGAGCAGCTGCCCTGTGAAGAGGCAGCCTGAGGGAAGCCGGAGAGGAGCCAGAGAGAGGCCTCAAAGTAGACCAAGCCAACCAGCACCTTGGACTTGGACTTGGAGCCTTTAAGACTGAAAAACAGGGGCTGGGGATTTAGCTCAGTGGCAAAGCGTCTGCCTGGCAAGCACAAGGTCATGAGTTCAATTCCCGGTACCGGAGAAACACCAAAACCAAAAAAAGACTGAAAAACAATTTTTTATTATCCAGCCAAAAAGTTTGTGGTGTGTTATTACGGCAACCCTAGCAATCTCTTTAACCACCCAACAGCAATCGATGGGAAGTGGTTTTGGCCTCTTTTTACCAGCTGCCATGCATCCTGTGTGCTTTGTTTTTAAGCTCTTGTGCCTTGTCATTCAGCATGCAGCATGCTCAGTTTACTCTCCCCAAGTCCTTATCCACCACAACATTTAATTTTCTTTTTTTTGGTTTTTTCCGGTACCAGGAATCGAACTCACAACGTTGCGCTTGCCAGGCAGGTGCTGTGCTGCTGAGCTAAATCCCCAGCCCCAACATTTAATTTTCATATACCCTCTCCTGTCCCTTTCCTATGCCTTAAGTCTTCCAGCTCTTGCTGAAGGACCCAGAAATTCCAAGCAGTAGTTTAAATCATTTTAAGCTAAGCACGTTCTTGGAGAATTCCACTGTTCTCTTTATACACACAAAGCTGAAACGCATATTCTCACATGTTAAGGTTGAGAAAGGCACGCTGAAGAGGGCTTTCCCACAGCAGAAAAAGCACCATAGAATGACAGAATAGGCTTTATTTCAAACCTGTACTAGATTACCAAGTTTATCTTCTGAGATCACCGGAGCCAAGGGAATAGATTGCCTCCCTGTGGAAATAATACTGACGCCTGCCTGCAGAGCTACCTGCAGAGAGATTCTGGTCCCATTCACTTCTCGGTGCATCTCCAGAAATGCTTTCTCTGCTTTTAGTTGAGTGAAGCACGGGCAACTTAGCAAACCACAGACTGTGTTTTGATAGTGAGCCAACTGGGCTGGGCCCCTTGATAGTTCTGTGTGCTGTACACTAACTAGCGCATTGTTGGTGCTTGATAAATGTCACTATTGTCAGCTATCAATTATTCAGTGCATAAGGAAGACAATGCCTTGGCGGGCATTGCTTTAAAGCTTAATCAAGAAGCTGCATGATTCTAACATCATATCACAAACAGATTGGCATTTTCACTTCAGCTGCTAGACTGTATGCATTTGTATTTATCACACATCTTTATTTTATTTTTTTTGTTTGTTTTTTTTTTTTTTTGGTTTTTTCTCCGGTACCGGGAACCGAACTCACGACCTTGCGCTTGCCAGGCAGGCGCTTTTGCCACTGAGCTAAATCCCCAGCCCCCACACATCTTTAAATTACTCCACTTTGTTGATAGTGACAACCAAGAGAAATCACTAAAATTATCAAACCTCAGGAGCAGAGAATTTTAAAGGAAGAGCAAATCCCCAATTTATGAATGAGTTCTTTGGAATGTTTGTAAGTCAGATTCATGGGTAAGTCCAACCACGTGAGTTTTGTACACCTTTGACATAGACATACGATGTGCGGTGCTTTGCACTTCCTAGCAGTCCCCTCCACATCGCCACTGCTTTTCCCTTGCTTCCGGACACCCTGGGCTCTGTACTACTGTGTTGAGCACTGTACTAGTGAATCCTATTGCACTGCACAGTAAGAACACAGCCGGATGGCTACGACAGCGCTCTGCACACACGTGAGCTACTTCTATGATTTGCTCCCACCTACGTATTTTGTGATATGAGATCCATTTGTACCTGGGAAAGTGCACAGCTTGAATGTTCGGAAGTTGAGGACTTGCTGTACACAAATAGATTACTCACAAATGTTACTATAACGGCCCCAAATGGAGCCCGACTAATGTACTGGGTCCATTCAGCCTTCTAGTTTTGCCTGTGCTTTCTTCTCTTGGAATTTTCTTCCTCCTTCAGCTTAATTTCTCCTCTGGGAAAATCCAACTTGCCCTACTGGGAAACTGCCCTGAAATTATTTTCTCTCACATTAGAAACAATTTTATTATTTCTTTGCAATGTACTTGGAACTATGACTGTGGGATGTATTCTGAGAAAAGATCTACTTTGAAAAGTATCTAAAGTATAAGACGTGCACAATAAATAGTTGTTGAATGAATAACAGTGACAGGATATGACTGTAATACCCCCATTGTTTGTACCTTTGTGCTCCTTTGTGAGGGATGCACAAACTTGCAAACTGGTAGGAAGGAGAGGTGAGAACAACTCTGGATAGTATTGGTGATTTATTCCTGCAGATAACACTCAGACTCCATCGAATGAGAAGCTACCTCTTCCTGAAATCAGAAAGGACCAGCTGAACCTTTCGCAGACCCTGAGCCACTTACACATACTAGAAGAGAAGCCTATTGTCCATGTTTTTAAACTACATTTCCAAAGTACATTAAACCTAAGGCATCTCAGGCTGTAGAAAATTTTTACAACTGTACCATATGCAGTAAAAATGAATGCAGGAGCACAATATATTCCTCTGATATGATAGCCCATTTCTTTAAATTAATCCCACTCCTACTTTAAATATATGATGAGTGTACAATCTCATATTCCGGTGACAGCGACAGCAAAGTCACAAGAGACATGATAGTAAGTAGGAGTAGAGTGCTTTTGAGTGAAGAGTAGGCAGCAAAGAGAGACTCTATCGATATTTGTCCACAAGTCTTCATTTTGTTCATAAACTGAAAGTAAAATAAAAACAATCCATTTTCCAAGAAAAAAACCCATAGTAAATCAAAGGTAATTTCTGACTTACACCAATTGCAACTGCGTGTAGCATTTTGTGCCTCTTTAAATAACTGCTTTCTGTTTTCTAGCTCAAGACTTTGCAGATAAACTTATTCCTTCTTAGGATGCAGCTGTGGTGCTATCTTCTGCCTAAATATCAGCCAGTAACTCCAGGTGTAGTGAACTATCCCCTCGGTTGCAGAATGCTCAGAATATAAATGATAGCAGACCTATATCTGCAGTCAGATCAGTTTAAAAATGACTCCCTTACGGGGTGCTATGGTTAAATATTCTCATGCAGCAGCTCTGAGACTCTCAGGTACCTTTGTAGAAACAAGTTCTACAACCAGCTTGGTGTCCAGCGTTAAATGCAGTTCAAAGTTCAACACAAGGTTTAGTAAGGGTTAATATCTTCTCCTCCCACAACACGTTGACTGACCTTCCACCTTTCACCGATGCTGATGTCACTGAATCATGCCACGCTCCACCGTTCCCTCCACCGCTTGTTATCAGCACTTTATACACGAGCGCAGCGTCTGCTGAAACTGTGCAGTTTTCTGAATCCAGCTGCTTCGATGGCATGACTCAGCGTAAAGACTAAGTTCCACTTGTTCCTTCATGAAATACGATTTTCTTTCCTTTTTTTCCTTCTGAAAAATTTTTTCATAATATTGGATGTGAAATCAAACATTCTTCCTCTAACGTTGGTATTTCGTTGATATGGAAGAGCCTACCGAGGTCTATCATATCATATTAAAGGAATGACTTCTGAGCACAACACATCAAAGTTGTAAGCAGACTCCAATAATGAGCTTCATTAATGCATGCCACTTGATCTCTCTGTTTTTGAAAGGCAGATGATAGGATTTTATTTCAAAGAGCATTTCTACGTCTTTATAGTTAAGACTGCCGACATGCACGGGTGCCAACTTCCTTCTCTCGTAGATATAAGAAGCCATAAGCTCTCGGAAAACCACTAAAACCAACACCTCAACGTAAAAACAGAACTGCTACATTATGTTTGTTTCCTTCAGCCAGTTGGATAAACTGATAAAAGAGTACAGGAAAACACTGACTCCACGTAGCACAGTGTAATTGTATTTGTCACAACTGACTCAGTTAAATTCTGTCATGTTCAGTGAGAGCTTTTACATAACAAGCACCGTGCTAGGCCCTGAGAGCACATGAACAGGAGCACCCGGCCTTCAAGGAGCTTGCAATCTACTCAGGAATACTGAAATGTCCATGTGTGACCACAGTGCAAGGACACGTGGCCTCGCTGTGACAGGGATGGAGATGCAGGAGCACTCAAGTCTGATTTGGGAGATCAAGAATGGCTTCATCCTCCAGGCAAGGTAGCATTTCCTGGCTCAGGAACATTCTTGTATTTCATATCCCTATAATACTGAGTTGCCAGGCCACACTCACCTGTGGGCCTGGACAGGGCCACTCCACTCCACCCTCTCATTTTTGAACACTGTTTGGACAAGTTGTGAAATCTCTTTCAGTCTAGGGTTACCTATCCACAAAATAATGATAATACTGTTTCTATACCCTTGCTGTGAGGTTATCCAAAGTAGCTGAACGAAGACCTAGCTTGTGAGAGAAGGCAAATGAGATAGGAAGCAAGCCCTGCCCCATCTCTCCCCACATAAAACTCATGTTAAGTCACAAAGTTAAGAATGACAGATGTGGAATAGAAGACAATCAATTTCTCTTTTGATTCTATGATCTTAAAGCTCAAAAATAAAAAGTATTTTCCTGAAATTTTTCTCTTCTATTGCACAAATGTATACCTTTTCAACCAAGATAAAAATAATGCAGAATTATGATAATGGCAGTTGCACCTCAAAATCTTACACAGGTGGACAGATGAGATGATCTTCCAAGATTCTGCTGGATTTATTTTCAGATATCTTTCTTCCCAAACCATTTATCCATCAGAAAATGCAGGTATAACCTACCAACTAGGTAGATCCAAGTTCTTAAAAACTCTACAATTCAAAGATAGGCATCAGGAAAATTGTTTTCTAGTACGTTTACATCTATATATCTGTTCATTACAGATTGCATAATCTTGATGAGCCTGGATAACAGATGTACAATTTGTCATTACAAAGAAATTATATTAGATGATGAAGTGATTCAGTGAACTGTTCATCACACCACTGAAAGAGCAATAGTTTGAAAATGAATGCAGTGTTCTGGTTTCATATATAATGCATTTTTTGGAAACAGTCTTTGTTTTTTAATTAAA